CTTTTTGCAAGTTGCAACTGTCTGCAAGAAAAAGTAACAATTAGACATGTGTGTTCAGTTTGTTCGGAATTAAATTGTCTGACTTTGGATGAATTCTTCAATTCTAAAGCATTTGGATTTAGGAATTCCTACACAATTGAACAAACCAAAAACAAACACATTTGAAAGGAATATTTAAAAATTCTCAGACCCATTTGTTTTTGAAAGGATAGGGGCTTATCTATAAAGCAACCTAATTTGGTATCCTTACGTGGGATTGCCATAATTATGTGTACGAAATTAGTGACTTGATATCCTGTAATGAGCAACTAAACAGCAAAATTAAGAAAAGTGCTTTTTTTAAAAATTAATTTTCACCTTTCATTCGTTTAGAAAATAGCTCCCTAATTTAATTACCTAACGTGGGATAATCTGAATTAAGAGTACCAATTTTCAGAGCTGTTGTGTTTATTAGATAGCACCCTAATTTGGTATACTTAAAATGGCAGTATCCCATAAGGCTGCCATTTGGGAGTTATCTACTTAACAGCTGCTTAAAAGATTAACATTTAAAAAAATGCCTTTTCTGAATTTTGATATTTCAGATGTTTAGAAAGTAGCTCCCTAATTTTCTAACACATACATTCTATACGCATTCAGCACATACATTCATTGTTAGTATCTACCACTTCCACTGGACGGCCAAGTATCTACTACCCTTTCTATATCACTATTAACCTTTGCTGCTTGATCTAGAAGGCTGTTCCATGTATTTACTACCCTATCAATATCACATCCTTCCACAGTGATATAAAAAAGGTTTTTTATTCTTATTTTCAATGTTTCAGTTGCTTAGTGGATAAGTCTCTAATTTGGTACTCTTAATGATGGCAATCCCATGTAAGGATACCAAATTATGGAGCTATATATTAAACATCTCAAAGGTCAAACTAAAGGGGAAAAAACTTTATTAACCCCTTAAGGACACATGACAAACCCCTTCAGTTACTTACCAGAGGCAGCGACATGTCCCACGTCGCTGCTTCTTCCTCCGCCGCCACTCCTCCCAGTGATTGCGTCAGCCGGTGGGCGAGACTGATCCCGCCCACCGGCCAGGGAGACCTAAAAAAATGTTTTTCAATGCTTTCCTATGGGGAAATGAACGACACTGGAGGTCCTCACACAGCGTGAGGACGTCCAGCGACGCTCTAGCACAGGCTTTCTGTGTTATGATGCAGGAAGTGCACTTTAGTGGCTGTCTTTTTATAAAAAACTGCAATAATTACAGTTGCAGGGTTAAGAGTAGTGGGAGATGGCAACCAGACCACTCCAATGGGCAGAAGTGGTCTGGGTGCCTGGAGTGTCCCTTTAATTTTGATCATTTAGGCAGCTGTTTACTAGATGTCCCCCTAATTTGATACCCTTATGTGGGTTTGTTATTTTTAGAAAAAACAAATTAGGGATTTATCTGCTAAATCACATCCTAATTTGGTATCCTCTGAAATATTGAGAATAACATCACAGTATGGCTATTTGGTGTAAATGGTGCAATCCAGATTGTAATTGGCTACAAGTCAGAGTTTAGTGAATAAACCCCTTCCGTGCTGTTACATATTCCTCCTTTCTAAAGTATTTTTTAGTTTCAACCGTTGATTGTATCTGATAAACAAACAGAATAAAAGTTCAAGTAAAGGAAAATCTTTCTTGATTCACAATACACACAATTAAATTTATGAGAATCCTTTCTGTTGTCAGTATACTTATTCAGTTAGGTCACAGGCTTCCCCAAACTCCGGCCCTTCAGATGTTGCTGAACTACAACTCCCATGATTCTCAGCACAATAAAATGTATTAGAATCATTTCTGTTGTCAGTATACTTATTCAGTTAGGTTAGGACATTCATTAACACATCTGCTGACTAATTCATAAAAAAGTAGCAATTTCAAAAAAAATAATGTATATTTTTTTCTGATTCATGATTCATGGCACGCACAATGAGTATATTCATGAAATATTACCTTTATAAACTGAAAACCAGATTGCAGAATTAAAGTTTATATAGCCATGCTGTGACTGAATATATTTCCAAATCGGCAATTTTTGTCTAAATTTTGCAATTCAGTTTTCAACTCGATCCAATTTGGAGGTTAGCGAATAAACCCTAAAGGGTTAAAATACAGGTAAAACCAAATCCTAAATCTGCAAAATAGAGTTCTTGATCGACATTTAACAATATAGTGTAAGGACTGAGCACACTCAGATTTGCCCAACGAGATATTGTTTTTAGCAGTTTAGCGTTTCATTGTAGTGTAAGAGAAAATATCCGTTCCATTTACCGGATTGAAACAATGTGTCATATTGTAGCCATGTGTGAAACTATACGGGGAAGGAACCACGGGGGAGTGAGCTAAGCTCCTAGAGACATTCAATGCATTTGTTTCTGGTTTTCTGGAAAGGCACATTGAAATGAAAATTCTCTTGAGGGTTATTTTTTAAATAATCCTCGGGAAAAAAAATGTATATTGCATGCCTTATAGGAAGCATGCGATAACACGGTGAAACAGTCAACTGTCTATAGTCTAAGGGATACATTTTCCCAAGTATAACATAACTGTTATAACACATAGCTATTGGGAAAAAAGCAAAAGTTCAATATATTGGCCTCGATTTAATAAGCTTTTTAAATGGTTCTATACTGTTAGAAAAGTCTCCAAGTGATTTATCTACTATAAATCATCATTAAATTCAATGGGAATTTTTGTAGATAAATCACTTTAAAAAAAAAAATTCCAACAGTTTTGAAACATTTGGAAAGCATATTAAATTGAGGCCCTGGTTTCCTAATCAGAGGTAACTATTATTTTTATATATATATATATATATATATATATATATAGTTATTTCTACATTAAATTGCTAAATGTTTCATTTATTTCTTAATCGTTTTAGTTCTTGTCTAATACTCATATATATTGTTGGTTTTTTTTTTTTTTTCATTGTTAAACAATATAGCATACACAATAACAAAATTATAAGTTAAAATAATATAGAGGATATTTTTTTGAGATCCTTGGCTCTGAAATTTTATCATAGACAAAGAAATACCATTTATGTCACATAGAGAAGGGGAGACAATATACACATATATAGTTTTATTAAATGTCAAATTTTATGGGTAAATACATTTTTGGTAACATATAGTAGGTATAAAAAATGAATATAGTAAAATACCCTGCTTATGGGTAGTTAACAGGGATCCAATGACATTTATATACCATGTAATATGTAAAAGTTATATCACTCACTCTTTCTGTAAAAACTGAACAACTCTGAAAAAATATATGTTTTACAGAATATTAGTTTTCTTTAGATATCCATAGACATCACATTATGCATGACATGTTATGTTTGTTCTAAGTCAATGTCCAGGCTGTTTAAGTCAGGTTCTAAATAAATATTGTTTTGTTTTTCATTGTTTAATAGCATGGTAGTAAAAAGGTGACATTTTTTTAAGTGACACGTGTACAAAGTCAGTGTTACTCATTCTAAAATGATTCCCTAAGATGCATATAGATCAAGGTTAATGTTGTGATAATAAATATGAATAATGCATTAAGTTAATTAGGAATATGATTAATTAATTAACATGCATCAACACAATCATAAATAAGTAATTGCTTCTCTGTGGTTTCTGAATTAAAAAACAAAAATACACAATAGATAGAAACAGTTGTAATAATGTTGCCTTTCCTGTACAGCATGTAATTATAAAAATGGACAATATTTCAGTGAAGTAGCTTCAATAAGTGCTTATTCTCCAAAAGAAAAAATGAAATAAATAAACACAGAAAACATTTGGAGCACTAAACATCACCCAAAAACAAAAATACGAAAACAGTACCCTTTAAAACAGAAAGGACATCATAGCTTTAGCAATATAATCACATATTTCTAACGCTATACTGTTCAATAGTTAGGTGCAGCCCCCCTCCAAATTAAACCTTGTGATATACCATTCTTGCAGTGCTCAATTGTTGCTGCCAACTGCTCCTCTTGTGACGGCATCCTGCAGGCGTTGCTTCCGGGCTTTTTGTCCAATCAAATGCTTCTCATAGAGGAGCATTAGGGACAAGATGTGTGTATACACGTCACACGTGAGTACAATCAAATGCTTCTCATAGGGAAGCATTGAATGCAAAGCATCTTCATTTTTGTATCTTTGTCATAAAAATGCCATGATTTGTCATATAAAAATCAGTATATATATATATATACACACACACACACACACACACATACATACATACATACATACACACATACACACATACATATATATATATAGCTTAAAATGTAAGCACAATGTATAGGAGGAAGATATATGGAAAATACTTAAGTTTTAAGCAGGGCCATCTATAATATGAATAGGACCCTGGGCAAAGCATTTTCTTAGGCCCCCTGGGCCCTGACCCTCCCACCCCCCAATTACACCCAACCCCTAATCACACTTTTCACCCCAATGCAGTGGGGAAACTAAAGTAGAGAGATTTAAAACATACTTACACAGCCATATACACTGACAGACATACTGTCACATACACACACAGACAGACATATTGACACATTCGCAGATACATACTGACACACACAGACATACTGACACACACATACATTGACACACAGGTATATACTGGCAGACATATTGACACACATTCAGACATACTGACACACACAGACACACACACATTCAGACATACTGACACACACGACACACACGACACACACAACACACACACATACTGACACACACTGACAGATATACTGACACACACACAGACATATACTAACAGAAATTCTGAAACATTCACTGACGTATTGACACACACACACACAGACAGACATACTGACACATACATACAGACATACACTGACACACACACACACTGACAGACATATTGACACACACACTGACAGACATATTGACACACACAGTATGTCTGTGTGTGTCAATATGTCTGTATGTCAGTATGTGTGTGTCAGTATGTCTGTCTGTGTGTGTCAGTATGTCTGGCACACACACACAGACAGACATATTGACACACATACTGACAATGTGTGTGTCAGTATGTCTGACACACACACACACACACACAGACAGACAAATATACTGACACACACACAGGCATACTGATATACACACAGACATACAAATATACTGACACACACACACAGGCATACTGACACACACACAGGCATACTGATATACACACAGACATGCTGACACACACATCTTCTGGAACTCCCCTCCTCCCTGCCTTCCTCCTCCCACGCAAATCTGATCTCCGGTGGGAGGAAGTAACGCACGGCATTCACTTCCTCCCAGCCAGCTGCCAAACAGGAAGGGGCCCGGTCACGCTGTTTAAGTTGCACAGCGCCCGACCAGACCCCTGCTGACACATGCCCAGTGGGTGGCCTTTGGTGCATAGGCCACATGGCAGACTCCTTAGTTTCTGGGCCGGTGCGGCTCTGTGCAGCCACATCGCCTGGTCCATGGGGGCTGCGCAAATCGCAGGGCCCACAGGGCAGCTGCTCTGGTGCCCCCCAGGAGCAACTGGGCCCGGGGCAGCTGCCTCGTTTGCCCGCGTTAAAGACAGCCCTGGTTTTAAGCATATCATCTTCAGTGTCAATACGTCTGTCCTAACTGTCCTAACATTCCAAGAAGGGAATTGTGGGGCACACCCTATTTCTCAGTAGTGGTGCTGCCATAAGGATCAACATATAAAAAAAATACAGATACAGAAACGGTGCACACATGAAAAAAAACACTGTTTAAAATTTTACAAGGCTACTTAAAATCACCTATATGGGGATCCAGTTGTCGCCATATTGTATAAAGCTCACCAGTCACAGTATCCCAGTATCGGTGGGTCCTGTACTAATTTTAACATGGGAAATGAGCATGCTAACTACAATTCTGACTTATTAACCCCCTACCTATCCATTATAAGTGCCCACAGGTGACCATAAATTGAGGAGAGCTTGTGGAAGTCATTTAAGCAGTAAGCAGTGGAGTAAGCATGTTCTCCATCAATGTAAAAATTGAATGCAGGACCCACCGATACTGGGGTACTGCGACGTAGCGGTGGGCTTAACACAATATTGGCCATATATGGTGGAACTGAATCCAAATATTTGTTTGCTAAGATATGTAATTTTTTGTGTGTGCACTGTTACTTAATTTGTACTGTCCTAACATTCTGCGGAAATTCCAGAAGAGAAGAACGACAATATAGTACAACAGCAGGTACTGAGAAATTAAAAAAGAAATTACTGAAAAGTTAAAACAACTTATTACGATAAAATCATAGAGGTATCTAAATTTCCCCCCTTGTCAATTAATGGCAATTCACATTTAGTGATTAATTACTGTACCACAATAGATTTAGAGTTATTCATCTAAAAAATATTAAAATAATTAACAAGGCCATAAGGTTTAACCTTAAGCAGGTCTCTGTATTTGCTGTAAATCCAAAAGAAAGTACAAAAGCATGTTTCTGCATTTGATCAACAAGCTATTAATAGCGATGTTCATGTTTTTATAGTTAAATATCCTATTTTTTCAGCTTTAGGAAATGTGGTGAATGTCAATATACACGGTACAGTAATGTGGCTTTCCTGGGAGTACACTGTCTACAGAAGGCGTTTCGACCTGGCAGGAGACTATAAAGACCTTGAAGGCTTGAAGAGTAGCTGGGGCATATTGGATGGAATTCCCCTGTAAACAAAGGGTACCTCGAACTATCAGGGTTATTTACTGTAGTGAGAATGTAAAGTGAAATTCTAATTAAATGGCAGAGTAGCCAAAATGAAAGCATAGCTTACTTTGATAATGTATCCAGTTCAGCTATTTTGGCCTTAAAGAGAATGTTGAATTCTCAATTTAGTGAGTAACCATGTCCACAGGTCAGCCACATCATTAAAACCACCTGGCTAATATTGTGTAGGTCCCCCTCGTGCTGCCAAAACAGCCCTGATGCATTGAGGCATGGACTCCGCAAGACCTCTGAATGTGTCCTATGGTATCTGGCAGCAATACATTATCAGCAGATTGTTTAAGTCCTGCAAGTTGAGAGATGGGGCCTTCTTCCCATATGGCATCCTGCATATACCTGGTCACCCATCTGATCTAAAGGAATACAAGTTTGGGCTGTGGTCAGGGGTAGTCAGGGGTCATCATGGGCACTGTGTCAGTCTGCAACTACTCTGCCCCATAGCATAGCAAACTGTGCATTTTGACACCTTTCTATTATGAACAACAAAGTTTTTCAGCAATTTGAGCTACTATAGCCTTTGTTCCCCATGTGCACCAATGATATTGCCCATTTATTTGATGCTGGTTCTCCAGTTGTCCTTCCTTGCACCACTTTTGGTTGATGCTAATGTCTGCATACCGGGAAGACCTCACAAGACTTGTCCTTTTGGAGATGCTCTGACCCAGTCATCAAGCCATTACTACTTGGCTGTTGTCAAAGTCACTCAGACCTTTTCACTTGCCCATTTTTTTCTGCTTTCAGCCCATGAAATTCAGAACTGACTGTTCACTATCTGCCCAATATATTCCACCCCTTGATATGTCCAATTGTAATGATGTAATCAATGTTATTCATTTTACCTGTCAGTGGGTTTAATGTTGTGGTAGATCATTGTATTAGGTTGTAATATTAGAACAGATACTGGATTCCCTTTTTCCTACATGCTGTTCTCAAATAGATAAATAAAATGGTCAAACATATTGCTTATAGATCCTCAACATCTCTTCCTAAAATGACACCAGTATGTAAAAACATTTCTGTATATGGGCTTAATTTATATCAGAGGACTTTGCAGGCTTTTATTGCCTATTCAGAGTTTTACTCCTCCACCCCATGCTGATGGAATGCAGTCGTAAAGTTTTACCTACAAAGCTTGCTGTAAAGCGTGGTAAGAGGGAGAAAGCTATTTACAGTCCTAGGCAGGGGGCAGAATGGAGACATGGCAGTAAAATGTGTTTGGGGAAATTCAGTACAGGATCAAAGGGGACAAAAGCAAGGTTTTATTGGCTCAGTTCAGTTTTTACATATTAATACATTTTATTGAGAGGGAAAATAAAATTACTGAAAATAAACTCGTAAATATAACAACAAAACTATGAAAAATATTGGATAAAAACATAGAAAAAAATATAACTGTAAGAAACAGCATTTTATAATATGCTGAATAAAAATCGATTTATTATGAACTTTTTTTTTTATAGAGTAAAATAAGAAAAGGTAATAATCCATTACCTTTTTTTTCTTTCTTTCTCAAGAAAAGTTTTACAAATCAAACAGTCATTTCACAGTCAAAAAAAATAAAAATAAACCAATGGAATAATGTATGAATAGCTACTATTCTTAGGAAAAAATAAGTTGAAATGGTATTTTGTGCATTTCCACAGCTGATAGTCCTTCAAACCAAAACATCCTGTTTAACCTGTACAAGAAATAGTCAGGAACTAACCTACCAATGCTCCCCCTCATCCCCTTCCTTCAATACAGCGATAATTCTGACTTTTCACCTAAAACACAGAAGCCCTATTCAGACTGAGGAAATCCAAGGCCATTAAGTGTAATCTATCACCAAAATGATATATGATTAGAGTTATGTGTAAGCAAAGCTTTATATGGCCCTTTCAAACATTTATGATACAGGTAACTTTCCATAACAGCATGTGTACCACAAAGAGTATATAAAACAAAAATAAAGCCATATAATGATCCGGTTTTATGCTGCTCTTACAGTATATTTTAGTAAGTGATGAACACACCTTCAACAGTCCCAGATCTAGCAAGAAAGACCTCATTAGTAACCCACCCCATATCCAACCTCTTCTTAGTTAGCCCACTTACCTTCTTGATTTTAGACCTCTCGTTGTTGGGAGGTAATAATTTATATATCTGTATAATACAAATAAAACTGGGCATTTTACTATATCTCACTGCCATTATTTTTTTTTCAGTGGGCATTAAAACTACAGGCCAAGGCTTCCTACCACCATATATTGTAGTACATACTTACTATATTGTGAATAGGGTATTTTTTAATTTGTTGAAGAGTTAGCAGAACTTGGACGGTGTGCGACAGTTGGTTTTACCAAATGAGAACAAACCCACCTGAAGCCACGTGATCTATTGATGCATGATCTATTGATGAGTATTCATCTACTCCAAGTTCTGGTGGTTAACCTACTGGAATTGCTGCACAGTGACATACAATGTAATGGAGATGCAAACAAGTTGACACACAATAAGCTTTACTGAAAACATCGGGGATGGCCAAAGGGAAGATCTTCGATTGTGGTAGAAATACAATTCCTTAATGTGTTGGCCTTTCACTTAATTACTTAATGTCAAAATAATTTTTTTTTTTTTTTAAAAAAGCTTCTTCTTTAACAGACGCAAGTTCAAAGAAATAAATGCAGTATAAGTTCAAAGAAATAAATGCAATATATTTGGAGGAAGGTATAGGATATATTTCTGAAATGCTGACAGGTCGCACAGTTAAAGAGCTCCTCAGCAACTTCCACTGGGTGGAGGCAGGATCCCAAACTTACCTGGTGTTTGATGCTGTCAGGGCCTGCCTGCAGCCTAATTGGGGATTGCAGCCAATCCCCCACCATGGGACTCAAGCATCTAGCTGTTAGATCTGCATCTGTTTATCCCCTTTGGACCTCTGGGGGTTTTCCCGTGTCCCCACGGTGGAGGCTGATTGCTTAACTGTGTGATGAATTGCACACATTATCGATGCAAATCTGGATGTGCTGACAGATGGCACACCATTTTGTGTTTCAAACCCCTACCCACAGTAAACTAGTTCGATTTCATCATATATGTGAGCAGTTCTGGGGCCAGTTGGCTCAACAACCGGATCTAATGTGGCTAGATACTCACTTTATGGATGGGACAAAGCACTGGCATGATGGGACCTTCACCTTCTGCAGAATAACTCTGTAGTTGCCGCCTCCCTGAGAGCTACTAGGGGCTTGTCTTTTTCACACAAGCCACACATATGGAAGGCCAAAAATAGTATCCAA